CAAAGGATGTTTCCAATATAAACAAAGAGTTAACAGAAGGTTAGGACATAAAACTAAAAAGGTTTGCTTACCTTTATAATTGGACTATTAAATATAAAAAAAATGCCTAAAAATCATTAAATGTTAAAAATTTCATTTAAGAAGGATCGTCTTTGTGCTATTTGCAAAGTTTCGGAAACATGTTCTTGGTACCGTCATTCAGAACCTGGTCAATACATATGTAATAAATGTTACAACAAGCAGTTATACTATATAAAAAAGAGTACAAATAAAAATGGGCTCGAATAAAGAAAAATTATTTAAAAAGAAAATGAGAACGAGGAAACGAGGAATTTTGGGTAACCCTGTATAAGAAAAATAAATTCATATTTTATTAATTTTTAAATTAAATTCGCAAAATTTAACTATATTTAGTAGATACCGTATTTCCTCTTAAAATAGCCCCATGGGGCTATTTTTTTCGATCGACCTTCAGAGGGGGGCTATTTTCGAGGGTGGGGCTATTTTAGATGAAATACGGCATTTAATTTTTCATACGGCTCATTTTAAGATGTTTTTAAATTAATTTGAAATTGAAATTTATAAGTAAGCACTAGTTTATGTAATAGAATCTTTTAGTTAATCATTTATACCTATATTTTTTTATCTTTCATTAACTAACTCTTATTCTTTCCTTACATTTCAGATTTCTTTACTCCTCCTTTCAGTTATCATCTCCTTTAGCATTCGACATAAGTAAGGACAGCATTATAAGCATGCCCTACTGCCAAATTTTCAAGCTGCGCAAACGCCGCTTGAGATAAATCGGCGTGTGTTGAATCACAACTTGGGCATTTGTCTTTGATGGGGACTGTGATACTAAAAATAAAATTTACAGAAGGAATTTGATACTATAAAAGTGTACCTTTTGCCTTTATAATCAACTTTAAGGCAGATATTACGGCAAATTGGATCATTATTTGGATTTCCATTAGGGATCCATTGTGTATAGCTAATAGCAACCAGCATTTCAGTTTCTGCGTTAATCTGCTGTCCACAAGCACCGTACCCCTTATCGTTATAATAAGTGAATGAGCCTGTAAATGGCTGGTTTAACGGCACTCCATGGCTAAAGCTTGTGGAAATAATAATTACAAGAGGAATAAAGAAGCAGTTGAACATTTTTGAATTTGTTTTTGAAATTTAGCAAATTTTATTTAAAAAATAAATGGAAAGTTGCTTTTCTATAAATCAAAAAATAGCTTAAGTTTTCTTTGATTATTGTTGTTTAGATACGTGGAAGATACATATTTTTCAGTGTTATTTTATGAGAAAATTCTTGTATTTTTAATTTTGACCCATCACTGAAGATGAATAGTTATTGGTAAATTATTGCTCTTATTAAAATTACTCGTACTCGAATCGGCCTAAAAAGTTAAACTCGTACTCGAATTCGGGGTTTTTAACTCGGCATTACTTGAACTCGGTTTTTCCCAATTACTCGGAAAGGACGCACTCTAATTCAAAAATAAGTAGTTATAAATTATTTTATTTATGCATTAGTGATGGTCGGGAGTTAAAAAAAGCCGAGAGTCGGGAGTCGAGACCGAGACCGGGAATCAACCCCGAGACCGAGTCCCGGGTCGAGACCGAGAGTCGAGACCAGAGATTAGGAGGGATATCACTTGATATACCCCTATATATTCTTCATAATCCTATAACCCTATATATCTTCATAATTCCCCAAATTCCATGAATTCCCACATTCACAATATAATGTGGGAATCCACCTCTATATCCTTTCAAATCCCCATAAGCTCCGATATCCGACAAGTCATTGATACCCCTAATATTTACGGCCGTATACGATAATTCTTGTATTTTGTCAGGTTGTAAGCCATAAATCCTCCAATTTCATTCATTTTCTGCGCCGCAGGCGAAACTTTTGAAAAATTTTGGTGGTCATGAAGCCAGATTTCTCCCATTTTCTACGTCGCAAGTGAGGATGTATACTGAGGATTTAGGCGTCTCATGCGAATATTTTAAAAAATTAATGATTTATTTAAAATATTTAATGTCTTTTCAAGTTTAAAATATTTAAAGAATAAATTTGAAATCAAAAAAAAGTTAAAAGACATTTATTTTTGAAAAGAAAAATTTTTCCAGCCTAAATTCCATCCCTGGATTCGAACCCAAACCTAACAAAATAACAAAGTGATTGAAGTCAGTCACACTCACCCATCGACCATCAAAAGAAAACTTAGGAAAAATATAAATATTCCTTTCCCTTTTCTTAAAAAAATAAATGTCAAAGTACGCGAGGGACGAATAAAATTCAAAAAATTTCTGTCATTAGGGGTGTAAATTTAGTCTCGTTTTCCGAGACTAAAACACCGAGACCGAGATCGAGACCGAGAGCTCAAAAAACCCGGGAAATTTCCCGACTCGGGAACCGAGACCGGGAATCCCGACCATCACTATTATGCATAAATTTACAAATAAAAATATATACTAAAAACGGAGAAATAGATAAGGGGATAAATTAAAAGGTCGGCCAAAATTGATATGTCATGTTAATGACTATTTATATTGAGTATTTATAGAGGGCATTAATAGGTCAACAGAAAAGTAAAAAGTAAATAATGAATAATTGATAAGGACCGGGAATTGTGATAATTGTGACATTTACTAAAGCAAATATATGTGCATATTTGCATGTGAATGTTTAAGAAGTCTTGATTCATGACTCACATCAGCCTATGAGTCTAAAACGTTGATGCAATTCCTACTTTAATATTCATTAACTGAACTTCATACATTCATCTACTTTTACTCGAATGTTTAGTTTTTTGCGATAAAGCATTGTTTTTAGCCTTAATTTTATTCTTTGTTTTTGACTGAGAAAAACAGTTTTGGAGCCAGTGTACAACAACACAAGAAATGATTATATATTATACGCCGTGAATATCCGGATACGGATACCAAAATCAGTATCCGTGTCCTAGTCTGCTACTAATTCTATTTGTAATAAGTTAACTCATTCATATAAAATCATTTTGGAAATAGAAGGACTAGTGTTTAGAATTCTGTATCGTAATACTGAAAAATATAGAAAACTTCTGGAAAGAACTTCTGGAAAGACTTCTGGAAAGAAAAAATTTTTTTAAATACAGTGAGGTGCATATGTTTATGCCGCTTGTATAAAACATCATAAAATTTTACAGGATCGATCAATTTAGACATTCTTGGTCTTAAAAAATAGCTTAAACGATAAATCAGTTTACATCTTTCGGCATTTTCTTCAAATTCGACTTTTCGACCCCTTTTAGACTGGTCGAACAAACAGCCCATTTGCTGGATCTTTGGAAAAATTTTCTAGAATCTTGCTAATTTTATATATGATACTCCGTAAAATTCTGAACAAAATGCAAAAAACCGCATTCGAAATGCTTTGGCCCGAACCGAGATATGATTTTTTGAAAATCGAAAAAAACAGCTATTTTTCGAGTTTTTGATGTTTTCAGCTGTTTTTTCGATTTTCAAAAAATCATATCTCGGTTCGGGCCAAAGCATTTCGAATGCGGTTTTTTGCATTTTGTTCAGAATTTTACGGAGTATCATATATAAAATTAGCAAGATTCTAGAAAATTTTTCCAAAGATCCAGCAAATGGGCTGTTTGTTCGACCAGTCTAAAAGGGGTCGAAAAGTCGAATTTGAAGAAAATGCCGAAAGATGTAAACTGATTTATCGTTTAAGCTATTTTTTAAGACCAAGAATGTCTAAATTGATCGATCCTGTAAAATTTTATAATGTTTTATACAAGCGGCATAAACATATGCACCTCACTGTATCGGACGATCAGAGCTTTGATTTTTCCTGAAAGCTTTATGATAGTTATGTGTTTCTAAGCTTTTCTAGGATATTTTTTTCGAGGATATTTACACAATATATAATTTCAAATAATTCTCTCTTTAAATATTTTTAAATTCCAGAATGTCATTTCACGGTTTAACTCAAAAATGCATAATATATCAACAATTGTCTGAGCAAGCCTTATACATATTACTGAAGAGGGATTCCGTTCTGATTCACCTATTTTTGAAATTTCAAAAATAATTTTTGTATCAATTAAATTAAAAATTAATTTTAAGCCGATTAGATAGATGCATTTTATCTGGAATGAGTACATTTATGTTTAAAGGAGTGACTAAAACATCATTGGCTAAGATAAACGAATTGATGGATAAACGTCGTCGAGAGGTTATTGAGAGAATATTAGAAGGACAGAAGGAGGAAGGGATGTCGTGTTAGATCCGGTTTGGATTGCCCTATTACAACACTGTACTTTTTTAAAGGCCCAAAGTTATTGACTTGATTAGATACTTTTTTCAATTTTATGAAAGATTTTGGATGGAATTATGTATAATCCATCTATTGCAACGCTGTCAACAATCGAAAAATTTTTAAGCGTCCGTGCCACTGTATTTAATCTCTTTTATTAAATTATTTTTTTGTAAAGCATAAATCTAACTTGAACAAACATTTAAATATTTTATTTTAATGATTTTATATCATTTTTATTTAACTCAATTTATAATTTTAAATTAATATTTTTTATTTAAAAATGAGTAAAATAAAATTTATTTTATTCCAGAACCAAAATTTAAAACTCAATCCTTTAACTTTTGTATATGTCTTAAAAGAATGCCCTAATTTTCAATATATATGCATATTTATCAATAGCTTTTAATAGTTGCCTTTAAATCAGGGGATATATTAGGACTTAATAAACAGTATGGAATTAACCATGTTTGTTCTTGAACCGATGGAGCGAAAATTTCCAGTTCTTAAGTTCGTTTCCATACCAACAACCCTATCGCAGAATGAAAGCTCTCCTTTCCAATTCCTTCTACCAATCGTTAAATGCTAGCCAACTGGAATTTAATAAAATAAAATTAATATTTAATTCAAATTGTTTGCACAGGAATTTAAATTTTATTTAATACTAAATTCAATTTAAATGTCATTAACAAATTATATCAATGAAGGATTAAATGAAGTAATGGGAAATGAAAGCCTTCAAAATTTTGAAGATTTAAGTGATAGTGTAGAGAATAACGAAGAAATTAACGTTGATAATCAAAAAGTTGAAGAGAATAAAAATAAAAATTTAAAAGTTCGAAAAGAGGCAACAAAGACTAAACGAAACCTCAACCCAGCCCCAACAGAGTGTAGTATCTGTGAACGTATAGCTAGTGGATATATCTTTTATGGAGTAATTTGTTGTGATGGTAGAATTAAATATTTGAAGTGAGAATTAAAATAGATACATATTGTTTTCAGGCTGTAAACACTTTTTTCATCGTTCTATTACTTCAAAAAATAAATACAAATGTGAAAAAGATGGGAACTGTAATTTGTCGTTTAGTAATTTTTTGCTATTAAATGGTGGAGGAATGTTAATGATATTATGTGGAGACAAAGATGGGGACCACGGCTGGACATAACCAGTTACAACCGGTGCCCAAAAACACCGGTTAACGGTTAAGATTTAGTTGACCGTTTCTGTCCAAACCTAATGGAGACTATCTTAGAAAATAAGAACTGCCCTTTAGATTGCCGATTAACTAAGGGCTTTTCAATAATCCCGACAGTTAGGGGCTCTTAGGGGGCTTTTTTTGGATTTATTTAATATCTAAAAATTTTATTAAAGATTTAAATGTCTGCAAAAGTTGCCGTTTCGATAAATGCATATTAAAAGGAATGTATATTCAGACAACAAAAGGGAGGCAACCTGAAAAGGTTTTGGAAATACAAACAATGATTCAAAATAAACGTAGAGAGCTTGCTAGTAAAGGAAAGTTTGTTCACGGAAAATCTAATAATTGTGCTGTTGAAGAAATAAATTTTGATGATTTGGTAGATTATTATTTTATTTGTTAAGCCGTTGCTCTTTTCCTCTCAATTATCTAACTCCTCTTTATGGCAAAAAACGTGATCCATTTAATACCGTAACCATCAAAGCCCATCTTTTGGAGCAATCCGTTTAGTTCATATATGTACCTATTTCGATTATCAAATTAGAATTTCTGATTTTTAATATCCTAGCAAAAGTCATTAATCGCTGCACAAAACAAACAATTTCTTGATTATCTTCTAACTGTCGAGCAAAATGCTTGTCGTAAAAGAACTTCAGGGATTGATGAATGCCATTACAATTCTTCGTGTAATTCTCTTGCTTCATTGCTTACGCGTAATGAAAATTTAATTGCTATAAAACACACGGTTTAAATTTAAAAACAGAACAAATTTTTTATAAATTTAAAGATTGGATTGCAAAAATATCCAAAATCTGGTCGTGATATAGGTGGACATTATGTCTTTTCTAATCGACCAAAACCTTTAACTGATGATTTACGTATAGCTGTTGATACTGCAAGAACTATGCTTTTTTTCGATAAATTGGATTTATCTGACAAGGTGACTAATTTAGTCGATCAGTCTGTAACGTATTCCGTACTGTACGTATTCTGTACAGAAAAAGTCTCGTGGCAAAATACGAGATACGAGGCCTCTAAATAACACGAATACGAAACCACACCTGGTATCCATACTCGGTGCCGCAGACCCCGGTTTCATAACCGCATTTCAAAAAAACTTGAAAAAGGACCGGTTCCCGTGAAACGGGACCGTGTACCGGTCTCTACACCGTTGCGGTCTATAAGGAAAAACTAACTACGCAGGTTATGTTTGTAGTATAATCTTTTTTTTATAAAGATTATTTTAATCAAAACAATCACCATACCGATTGCATCACTTAATTTACGGTATTACTGTAGTACAATTCTATCCGAAACTATTAATTTGCCAAATGGTGTTCCAATTAAAGCTGTTTACAATGCAGATATTTACAAAGAAGACATGACGTAAATTCTATTTTTGATTAATCTTTGTTTATGTGTTAGGATAAAAAGACTTATCAAAAAAATTATTTGACGATTCTATGGTTCCATTCAATCGACTACGACTCAGCAAAGAAGAATTTGTTCTCCTTCGGGCTATAATTTCATCACATTTTGTCTTATGTGATTTAAGTCGACATGGCTGACAATTATTACTAACTGAGGCAGAGAAATATTCTGATAATTTGATGAAAATGTTACAGGTGTTTTAGCTTATTCCTTTACAAAACTTGGGGAATATTGAAGTTTTGTACATTTATGATAGTAACACGATGAGTGGGTGACAGGAGGTAGTTCAGCTAGATAGGATAAGAAAATGCATTTTCGAATGTTTCTGTACTTAAATAACAGGTACCGTAGATACCCTCATTGAGGACCGGCTGTATCCGAAACCCACATTTAGTACAAGCCAGGTCAAGAAAGTATATAAGTTCCAAAGAAGTTGAGGACTAACCACGAGACTAACACCTTAGAGGACTAACCACGGCCATCGAATGCTTTGATTATTCAGAATATTTATTGTTTTTTATTAAATCCTTGCCAATAAAATTTGTATGTTACGCACTTGTAGGGAGAATATAAATGAATAAAATTAACCCATAATCGGGTTGGATGGTGGCACAGTCCGTTGTGCTTCTTTCTGGGCTCATTCCCTGATAGTTCTATTCCATCTCCCATTCAATGAATTTTTTATCAGCAGATTCTATTTCAGAATAATTATGGACCATTGCCGGGTGCTAAAAGATATGCAGAATTGCTTCATTTAATTGAATTCTGCTTCAATTGTGCAAACAATCAAAGTCTTTTTCTAAATTATGTGGCTTATGTAACCGATCAGGATTATTTCCATAACTCAATGCCTGAAGCACTTGTTAATCTTTGTCTTGGTTGCAAAACTTGAAATTCTAAATTAAAAATTTTAAAGTTTATTCAATTTTAAGATATTAAAAAAAATAAATTTATAAATTTAAATTAAAATCAAAATTTAAAAACATTTATTTTTGAAAAAAAAACAATTAAAAAACAATCTGAAAGAAATTATAAATATCCTTTAAGTTTTCCTTCAAAAATTTGATGACAAAGTAAATGAGGGTTTTTCTTGCAATAATATTTTTTTGTAATTTTTATTTTCGTAATTTGTAATTTTTCCCGATATTTTCGTAATCGTAATTCGTAACTCAAAAAACGTCGTAATTCGTAATCGCAATTCGTAATTACGACGCAACCCTGGTCGCAGAGTTGCATCGTAATTGAAAATTTATTTTCGTAATCGTAATTTTAAACAAAAAATTTCGTAAACGTAATTCGTAACTCAAAAACGCCGTAATACGTACTCGTAGTTAAGACGCAACTCTGGTACAAACAAATTTCTTGGAGTGTTAGGAATAAAATAAATAAATAATTATCAATTTTCAATGACTTTTAATAAAGTTATGGCAAAAACAAAAGGGACGAAAAATTTTTTGTGTTTAAACAAAAATATATTTTGGAAATTGTACGCGAAGGATAATTATGTCTGTGTGACATAAAATGAAAATATTTTAATAATTACCAATATCTTTGATTTTCTTTAATATTGCCGAAGTACATATGTATTTTAAAATTTATGTCTATACATAAATAAACAAAAGTGCAAATAAATTAGAATAAATAAGAGGAGAAAATTTTAATTTGAATTAATTTAACTTAAATTTTTAAACAATTTAGCAGTAAATTTAAAAGTAAAACGGTACTATTTGGTTATCTCCCACAATTCTCTTTTTCTACTCGATTTCCCAAATTAACTTTCATATGCTTGATCCAATCCGAATGAAACTTGAATCATTCGCGCTCTTGATGGATCATGTCTGATCGCCCATTAGGAAGTGAGATAAATGTGAAAAACAACGATTTCTTCGACTCACACACTTCTAATATTTTACTGAACATCAGACTTGATCCATTCAGTTGGAATAAAAATTAACTTTGATATGTTTGAAAGTTAATTTTTTAAGTTGAAGCTCATCGAGGGCTTTCAAATTATCTAAAATTCTTGAATTGGATAGAGTATGAAAACCTATCAAATTAGGAAAAATGGAGAAGAAAAATAAAATGGTGGGAGATAATACGAGAGATAATCTGGGAGATAATCTTTGTTATTATAGTGAAGCAGCTGGGCTATAGCTATTTCTCTCCTTTAGCTAGTGCAAAAGGTTAATCGCCGGCTGGGAGCGAACCAGCATCTTCAGTAGACCGGACTGATGTGTTAGCCATTACACCACGCCACCTGCTGCACAGCCTTAGGAATTAAAAGCTATATGCTTTACAATATTTAAATAAAACAATAAATAATTTCTAGATTACTTTTCAATGTCAACAAAAATTACATATTTTATTCAATTTATTTTTCCAATATTTTTAAATTCTTTGGCAATTGAACAAAAAAGTCAACGATTCCGATTTCATTATTATGGTCGTAATTTCTTTGATCATTACAAATTAAAAAGAATAAACATAAATAATTTTGATTTGTCTGTTGAATTGGAATGTTATTTACCGGAAATAGATTGTTCTGATCTTTATATAAAATTAAAAAGCCAAATTGGTTTTTATAACACCAATGACCATTCTTTTGCAGAAAATCTTAACAATGGGTTAACGAAGATTCATTTTAAATCTGAATCTAATAAATTTCGCGAAGGAATTATGATTGGGTTCCGAAGAGCAAGAATGGTAAGCAAAAAATAATAGAAAGAGTTTGCAAAAGTTTAGCCACCGGGCAGGATTCGAACCTGCGACCACCTGCTATTTGTTGCTAGGCGCTTTCGCTCACCATATGCAGGAGCTCTACCTCTGAGCTACCGAGGCATCGACTAATGCTTTCTCTTTTTCCTTTTTAGATCGTTTAGCCCCTGCCTAAGCGTTTTAAATGCTGCTAGGTGAATCACCCTTACATAAAAAAAATATTGCCAACTAAAAATAATATTTTTAAATTAATATTTTTTAGAATATTATGCAAATAGAGCCTCTCTTTCATAAAAATATTAATTTCGAACCTGAGGAGGTCATGGAAGCAAACAAAGGGTTCCGATTAATTAAATTTGAATGGAATCTGAATTTTGAAGAAGGCTATGACAGTTATATAAATATTTGTATTAAATCCAAAAATAAGGGAGAATATTTCATTTACTTTATACTATATTCTCTCAAGACAATAAAATTTTTTGTCAAACTCGATGGAGAGGAAGAAAAATGTTTGTTTGGGAAATTTAAAATAATTTCAGAAGATTTAAAAAAATTTCTTGAAAAATTAAAAGAATTTATTTATGTTTTTGCTGTCAAAACTAATGAGACAAACTTTGAAGACGGACAAATGGATATTATTGACATAGCAGATTCTAAACACATTATTGTCGATGGGACTAATTTTTTAAGTTTAGGCCCTTTATTTGATGATGGAAGTTTTGAAATTTATTTTGACAAAAATGGAAAGATTAATGACTTTTTATTGTCGAATAGAATGTTGTTAAAAAATTCAAAAAATATTTTGAAAGATTTTTTAAATAAAAGAGAATTGGGGGATAAAATAAAGAAAAAGAATGTTTTTAATAAAGATGAACAAATTTGGTTTCGTTTTATGGGAGATAATATTCAAAAAAATTTTAAGAATGAAAATGGAAAATCCAAAATAATTGAAGTTTTTTTTAGATTTTAATGGAAAATATAAAGAATTAAAAAATTAAATAAAAATTAAAATAAAAATTTCAATAAATTATTTTTTCAATCTTCATTCATTAATATTCAAAATAAAAATTAATTTTAAATATTATTAATTTCCCATTAATAAATCTTTATTATTTTTCATAAAATTTTATAATTTATTTAGATATTAAAATATTTTAATAGAATTTTATATTCTCGTCGCTTGAATCAGTCATTTTAAAAATCCAAAATTTTTTTCTAAAATCTACATACATATGTAGTTAATTGGGTACTTATGAAGATGGACAAGTCATACATAATGGTAAGACCTTTCAAACAAGTGACATTGATAAAGAGAAGATGGTACTTATGAAGATGGAGGTGCCCTTTCTGCGGACTTTTTTTTGCGGACTTTTCTTCCCTTATTTAAATGTTTTACTTGTAGCAACTAACGGCAATCCCGGAGAATCGTGGTCCCTGCGGAAAAAAATCTTAAAAATAAGAAAAAGGATTTTTCTAGGGTAAAAAAATATGCTGATTACGAATCTGAACTCGGATTTTGAAAAAGTCGAATCCCGAACCCGAATATAGGTCCTCGAATATCGAAAAACCATAGGGGGGACCAAGCTGATTTTGAAGTAAAAAATTCGAATGTGCAAATTATACCTCATTCGAAAGAGCACTTCAAGCTGAGTAGAATGACACCAAAATCATCGTGATTGAACAAGATCGGACGAAGTTATACCACAAAAACAAACAACGTAAGCCTAAGTTTCTTGTGTCATAACTTTGTCCAAACTTGAACAATCAAGCTGATTTTGATGTCATTCGACTCTGCTCGTCGAGCTCTTTCGAATGAAATATTATTTGACCAATTTGCGCTCTGTTTATTATTCGAAATTTTTCCAAAAATGTCAAACTTTCGAATTTCGGGTTCGGGATTCGACTTTTTCAAAATCCGAGTTCAGATTCGTAATCAGCATAATTTTTTACCCTAGAAAAATACTTTTTCTTATTTTTAAGATTTTTTTCCGCAGGGACCACGATTCTCCGGGATTGCCGCAACTAACTGTCAACGATCCTCCCCCATTATTTTTCTTCCCGAAGATTGTACATAATGGTAAGACCTTTCAAACAAGTGACAAGGTTTAACAAAGGCTAGGACTTTGCGGCTTTAAATATGCAAATTATTTAACATAGTATCTATAGTTTTCTTTTGTCCAGCATCTTGTTGAGTTGTATATTTTTTAACAGGAGTACAAACACGGCAGTATTCCAAATTACAATTTGTCCAATGAGAAATTATTTGGCGTGAAGAAACACAATGAGGAAATTGACATTGACGTCCAGACGTACACTTAACGAAATGTTCCAAAACAGATTTCATTGTACTACAATAGGGATGAAAACAAATACCACAATTTTGCGGCTCCAACTATTAAAAATTTTAAAAGTTAAAGTCAAAACAGAAGAAGAAACTTTTTGTCTTTGTTGACATTTATGAGCATGCAAAATAAGCACAAGTTGCTGTTGAATTAATTTTATTTTTTCAGGATCTTGTGGTAGTCCAACGCCCATCGATTGTTTTGATGGTTTTTGTTCTTCACCTGGACATGGTTGATTATGCTGGTCAGAATCAGTCATCTAATAAAATGAAAAATAAAGTTTTAATTATATAAGGAGTAAGAGGAACAACAAAAGGGTATCAAGACAAATAAAAAAATAAATTGAACAGGACATATGAACCAAGGATGGTCAAATGGGAAAAAATCGATTTTCAAGTCTGGATAGTTTTCAAGTCGGTCACTTCCTCATATGGACTAAGAATAAATGGAGAATAAATGGAAAGCGAATCACGGCTAAGTGGTTTTACACTGGCAGTGAGTAGGAAGTAGGGGATCATTGAGTCCCGCCGGTTGAGTGCAAATGGATCACTGTGCTCGAGTCGTGTCACCATTTTAAAAGGGACACGCCCGACTTGCCGCGGGCCGACTTGTCGCGGCCGATTTGTCGCGACCGACTTGCCGCCGGCCGACTTGCCGCGAGGCCGACTTGTCGCCGGCCGACTTGCCGCCAAGCTTTTTAATTAACACCCCCCTTCCACAAGGTTTTCGCGGAAAAAAGTTTTTGCCGCTGCGGAGGAAGCCGGGCATGTCGAGCGGAACGACGGCCGCCGCTTCGCTACGGTCGCCGCGAGCGAAGCGAGCACGACCGCAGCGAAGCACGGCCATCGTGTAGCGAAGACCATGCCCGGCCTACCCTCCGTAGCAGCACAAAAACAGTTTTTCCAGCGAAGATTCAGTTGGTCATAACTCTGTTTAGAATCATCCAATCGAGCTGATTTTGGTGTCATTGAGCTCAGCTCGACGAGCTCTTTCGAATGACATATAAATTGACCAATTTTGAGTCTGGTACGGAAACTGTAGTTAGGGGTTTTTTAATTTTGTAAAATTTTTTTGTAAAATTTTTGTTTTATAATTCAGCATGGTCCCATTTGATGGTCGTTGGGACCATTCTAATTGATTATAAATCAGAATATTTAATTAAAAAGCTTGGCGGCAAGTCGGCCGGCGACAAGTCGGCCTCGCGGCAAGTCGGCCGGCGGCAAGTCGGTCGCGACAAGTCGGCCGCGGCAAGTCGGCCCGCGGCAAGTCGGGCTGTACCCTTTTAAAACAGCCAAAAAATAATAGAGGTCGATTCAGTGTAGATCCAGAGCGGGATTTTACTGGATCCCGTACCGGAACCTCGGATTTTAATAAAAGAACGGGATTAACGGGACTTCGGAATTAATGGGATTAATCCCGCAGGATCACTACCGTTCGATCTTATCAAACTCCATCCCGATACGGGATCCCGGAAAAACAATTTTGCCGATCACTAATTCAAGGTAAGTCAAAGAAGAAGCGCTTCATTACACAGATCGAATAAACTTCGTTGTCTTCTGTAGTAATACATACAAAGCTTACTTACTTTCTAATGATTCTTTTGATAAGTGTAAAGCATATAGCTATTAATTTCCTAGTGCTATGCAGTAGGCGGCGTGGTGTAATGGCTAACACATCAGTCCGGTCTACTGAAGATGCTGGTTCTCTCCCAGCCGGGGATTAACCTTTTGCACTAGCTAAAGGAGAGAAGTAGCTATAGCCCAGCTGCTTTACTTAAGCTTATCCGGTATCATTAAAATCCGATACTATTTAAAGAGTTTTTTGTCTTCCATATTTCATTTATTTGCTTTATCCACATTTTCATCTCATAATTTAATAATTTTCAGATTTAAGTATTCTATTATTCTAAAATCTTCAATGGGAGCAAAACATTCAAACATCAAGGAGGATCACACAAAATTTCCTTTCTGGTGTGGTTATTTGCCTGATGCTGATGCTTTGGAACTTTTAAAGAATAAAAACGAATTTTTGTTGCGTTGTTTAGAAAATGATTCTTTGAGTTTGACGCTTTATGGTGGTTCTGAAAAGGCTAGTAAAAACTTAGGAATAAGGCTTGAGAGCATTCTGGGGTCCAAAGCAGGGCTGGGCTAATTTCGTATTTCGCGTTTCGCATATTCTGAGTTTGACGCTTTATGGTGGTCCTGAAAAGGCTAGTCTAAACTTGGTTATAAAGGCTTAAGGACATTTCGTGGGCCCTTGAGAACATTTTTGGGGTCCAAAGCAAGGCTGGGCTAATTTCGCATTTCGAGTTTCGCATCTTTCACATTTTTCAGCGCGAAAAGTTTCGCATTTCGTATTTCGCTTTTTATTTTTAGATTTCGCCCAGCCCTGCTCCAAGGATTTTATTGGATATCTCTCCAGTTAATTTTCATAGCCCTTTCTAGGCGCTAGTATAACGGAACCCACAATTTTCTATCTTAAATCCATTGATGCTATTTTCAGATATCAAATTTTATACTTGAAAAAAATAATTCTGGATGGCATCTAGCAGGTCAAAAATCAACTGAACCAACATCTAAAGAATTAGTTGAATTTTATTGGGTAAATTTTGCAGTTATTTTTCAAAAAAATTTTCTTTAACGTTTAAGTGCACAAAACAGGCAATAATTCTTAAAGGAGATTGTGATCGTTTAGAGTCTCCAATTCTCCGTCCACATTGGTTACTTTCTTCAGCAAAAGTCTGGTTTGGGGATAAGCTTGGAGAAGGCGCCTATGGGGTTGTTTATAAAGGGGAATTGCTGGATGGTGGGACAGTTATTGATGTAGCTATTAAACAATTAGTTGGAAAGGATATGAAAAAAGAGCAGATTGCCAATTTGTGGTCAGAGGCACGTATTATGACTGCATTGAGGAATGAACACGTTATTAGATTTTATGGAATTGTTAATGATAGCAAGGTGAAAAAATATTCTCTTGGGGGTAGTTATCGCTTTTGATGAACGCCAAAAGGCAAAGTTCTTTAATCGGGTTCCTTTTAGGGTTGGGGGTCCAGTCCAAAGATCGAGACGGGCATCGAATTTTGGCCCGAAAAAGATTCGGTCGGACCGGCTTGATAAAAATGAGGCCTGAAAAAATGACGCGAATATCGGCCCGACTTGAAAACCCCAACACTAGTTTCTTTCTTCCAAGAAATAACTAAAAATTTTATTTCGGTCAGGCACGTATAAAATTTTCTGTTGGGGAGTGGACGAGGGTTCCCAAAATTGACCGACACGGACAGAAAGATCGAGTCTGGCAGAAGATATTTGGTCAGAAAATGACTCGCACGGCCCGACTCGATAAAATTGAAGCCCGAATATCATCGGCCCTACTCGAAAACGGCAACCCTATGCTAGACGTAGTTTCTGGGTTTCCTGAATTTCAAGTTTTTTTTAAATTTTTTACCATTTTTTTCAGCCATTCAGTATCGTATTGGAATACATTAATGGCAAATCTGTGGACAATTTTTTAAAGGAAGAAGGATCAGATAGTGATGACAAAATGCGAACAAAAATAATTCTTGGCGCTGCTAGAGGCATGAAGTATTTGCATTCACAAAATCCTCCATTTTTGCATTTGGATTTGGCTACTCGAAATTTATTAATTAATTGGACTGGACGTTCTAAGACAATAAATAATATGACTGTAAAGGTGTGTCCGAGAGGAAAGAAAAACTTTTTAAAATTACTTTTTTAGGTAGCCGATTTTGGGTTAAGTAAGCGTGGTCAAAAACATACTATTGACGTAAACCAACCAACAAATCTTCGCTGGTTGGATCCAGATTCCTTTAGAAGCAAGTCTGTTGACAAATTGACTGATGTTTATGGTGGCTTTTGAAATTTATTTTTAAAAAATTAAAAAAAAATTTTCAGCTTTTGGTATAACCCTTTTTGAAGTCTTCAGTCGTCCATATGAATTTCCGTATGCTAAATGGAGTGGGCAAAAGGTGAGGGTTTAAAATGTGCGAATCAGGGATGTGCGCCAAAATTGGCGCGTGGCGCGCCGAAGGCCAAACGCCAATTTTTTAAAATTTTAAAATACGCCAAACACAAAACGCCAAAAATCGGCCAAAAATTGGCGGACGTCAATCGTCATGTCGCACATCCCTGGCGTGAATCTCTATTAAATTTTTCATTGTCTAGGTCTACGAGCAAGTCATTAATGTTCCCAAGTCTAAAAGGAAGAGATTAAATACTCCCGATGGAATGCCCGTTGCTTTTGTTAATTTAATGAAGGATTGTATGAAATTTGATGAAGACAGGGATAAGCGACCTTCATTTGAACAAATTGAGAGAATTGTTGATAATTTATATAGAAAGATGTAGAAAAGAAATATTTTTTTGTTAGGGTTTTCTTGTAGATTTTATGCTTTTTTGTGTTGTAAATAATGTTTAAGATTTCCTCTACTGTTAAGTTTAATTTTAGACTTTTCTGAAAGCTGATTAAGTCACCCAACTTTTTACTAATTTTACACTAATTTGGTTATTTTTTGTTGTATTACATTTTTTTGAAAATCCTGATCTAAAAAATCTGCTTTCCGGGTTTTCCGCATTTTGATCAGGAAAATCCGATCCAGATAATTTTAAAAACCCGGAAACCGAATCCGGCATTTTTCAAATTTTGCTATAAAAGAATATGTTTATAAAACAAAAGACGCAAAATTAACGCTGGAAGTAAGCGGGTCGGTTTATTAGAAGGGGTCGGTCTATTAGAGACTAGTGATATTCAAACGCGATTTTTCGGCATCGGTATTTTCGGTAAAATACCGATATCGAAAAAATACCGATTTTTTAAAAATTGTTCGGTACCGTATTCGGTATCGGTATTTCGGTAAAAATACCGCGGTATTACCGAAAAATACCGCGGTAATACGGTACCGTGAATAACACTATTAGAGACAGTCGCACTATTAGAAGAAATACGGTATTAAAGAAATATTTTTATAAAAATTTATTTATTTTAACATTTTTCAAAATATTACTGTAATAAAAATGGAAAGATGCAATATGCATAAAAAATTGCTTGGAAAAACTATTAAAGAATAGGTTTGGGGATCCGAATTTTCGGGTAAAAAAGTCGGGATATCCTGAAAATTCAGATTGGGATACAGATATCCAAAGAAAAAATGACTAAAATAGAGAAAGTATCAAAGATGTGCGCCAATAATTTTTTAAAAAATTGCCAATCAAAACATGCGCGCACTTTTGTTTTTTTAAATTTAGAAAACTTCTTTCCCTCCTTTCATTCTTCTTGAAGTTTTTTCATTTCTCGAGCTTTTTGTTTCTTTAACAAATCATTTGCTCGTTGTTTATGTGTCTCATCTAACTTCATATAATTATCCCCAGTAGTTGTCAAATATTCAGAAAATTCTGATTTGTTGCTTCGATAAATATGCCAATCCTCTTGTTTTGTCATATTTATAGCTCCAATCTTTTGAAAAAGAAAATTTTTCTTAATTTTATAAAAATTAGGGTCGAGTGGTATCGGGATCCCGATCAGTATCGGTTGGTATTATGCCGGTTTTTTAAATCCCGATACCGATTTTTTTGATACCGATACCGAAAGGCAGACCCCGATACCGACAATTATCAATACCGAAACGGTATCGTGATCGGTATCAGCATTCCAAAATCCGATACCGATTTTTTCTCGGAATATCGATACCGCTCAACTCTAATAAAAATTATTTTTTACATTTTCCATAATTTCATAAAAATTCTTTTTTGTTTCTTCATTAAAAATCCAACCAATTCTTTTTGCTCCTATTGCATTTGAAAGCTTAAAGCAAATCTTTTATTTCGAACTATTTTCTCGACTTACCTCAACCAATTTTCCAAACATTGCAGAAATTGCATTTGGAATATGGCAATCAAAATGTAAGGGGGAAAAAGACATTTTATCTACCCAAATACTCTTTAAAATTAAAAATATTTTTAATTTTAAAAATTAATTACTTGTCCATCCCAAAAAGAATAATAATTTCCATGAAAGAAAAGCATGCTGACAACTGATGGACGAGCATCTAAATGGACAGTTACTGCTCCTACTTGACCAGTTCTTAGTAAATTCGTTAAATTTGACGTTGATTCATCTTTGATATTTTTTATTATTAAAAATTAGCGGTAAAGCTTTGTGACGAACGTCACGTTTTACTCAACCAATAAAAGTTTTTACACCCGTTACATGTTTTTACTCAGTTAGCTAATTGTAATGGAAAAGGAAGATCAAGCTTGCTTAAATTTAAAACGCTCATTGTGCGAGGGCTTAAGACTATTAAGCACTTAACAGGCGAGTAAAGCCATGCCGGAGGGGTCGGTCGATATTTTTCGATAAATATCGAAACCAAATATCGAAAAATAATGGCGGGTGCGAAAACTCCTAGTCCTAACTGCAAGTAGGTTGCAGGATCAGTGCCTGCTCGGAGTCCTCTCCTTTATATAAGTTACCTTCCCCGTTCATTTCTTTCCATTGTTTAATAAGATAAATTGCTTCATCTCCACTCAATTTACCAGGCAAATAAATGGTTGATTTCTATATAAAATAAATTTAAATTAATTAAAAACCCCCCAACCAAAGTTCCACAAAGTACATTCACTCCATTTTTCAATATTTTCTCTACTTCATTATCATTTAATTGTAATTGCCAAAAAGTTTCTTTTGGCACAATATCCATTCCTGGAAAGAGAAAATACCCAACAGACTTGCTATTGGCTATAGCTTGAATTTCCTTGATTTCTTCACTTTTGGAGGCCAACTTTAATATTTTTATTTATATAAAGATATATTTATTAGAGATTCACCGGAAGTTCCGTTTCCTAAAGGTTCTGACTTTTTTTGGTTCTAGTTCCGGTTGCGGGATCCAGAACTCAAATAGATCTGGTTCCGGTTCCGGTCAAAATTTTGGTTCCGGTGAAACACTAATATTTATAAAAAAGTGTTGTTGGCGACCATGTCATTAACCGTTACCCTCCGTATTTGGTTAATCCAAATTTAAAAATCCGGTTTTCTGTTTTAGTTAAATATTAGTTTTATTTTGGGGAATGCTTCTAAAAAATGTCTCATTTTAGAAAAATGGTCAAGTTTCGGCATTAAACCCGGTCAACAACAACCCTATTATTATATACCTTTGCAAGTTCAGCATACAATCTTACTGGAAGTTCTTTATATTTAATTTGACAAATTAAATCACCCAAATAGACAACCTATAAATTAATTTAAAAAATATTTTTTTTCAATTTTTTTAGACCTTTCCTCCATTTAATGAGGAAGAAATTGTATATGAAAGATAACCAATTATCTTTTTTTCTTCTTTAATTTCAATAACTAAAGCATGCACAAAACCTTCTTGTAAATCTTTTTCAATTTGCTCAACTTCAATTTCTGGTTTAACATTTTCAGAATTTATTAAAGAAATTGCCAATTGACGCATTTGGGTGGCATCTTTGTTTAATTAATTAAAATTTAGTTAATTTTAGACACCTATAGGGTCGAGACGACCCAATTTCCGAAATCTGGAATTTATTTTTTATGTTGGCCAGATCCAATAAAGCAAAGGTTATACTTATTGAGATCCTCATTCTATAAAATGTTAGATGGATTAGATCCAAAAAATGAAATTAATTAGAAAACCGATTTTAGAATTTATATCAGAAGAGTTAATAAAAATTTATCACTATGTCCCGTATAATTAAATATTTTAAAGAAATAATTATAAAAATTGAATGGGAAATGAAATATGGAAAAATAGGGGTGGGGTTATAATTTTGGGACAGAGTAAATTTAAGTAGTCAGATCTCAAAAAATATCTATGAGCTAATATGTACTTAAATCGAAGAATAAAAATACCTTCTGGAACAGCATGTCTAATGATCATTTCTGCGTTTGCATGATCAAAAGTCTTCAACGGTTCTTTGCTTAACTCAAATGCCTTTAATTTGTTCGGTTCTAACAAAAGGCGACGCGATGCTATCGGCAACGTTTCGGCGCCATTAAGTAGACGAATATCTTTTTCTTGATTGGCAACAACTTTATTTTTTTCTTCTCCAATCGTTTCCCCTAAATTCGACATAAGAGCATTTTTATGCTTCATTGCAAATTTAGGATTATCAAACGAATGTTTTGATTGAGCAGCCGGAAAAGATTTCCCTGAATTAAGCGCTTGAACGTGGAGATTCGTTGGCGGTTTTTTCAGAGGCATATTATTATGCATCGGTGGCACAAAGGCTGAAGAGAACGCGGAAATCGGGGCAGTTGCACCTCCACCTCCATTTACTCCCCACACTTTTGCCATCATCATAAACATTAATCGAGTAAAGTTGCGTTGAGTAAATATCATTTTTGGGGGGTTTTTTTTAGTTGTTTGAATGTTAAATTTATTTTTGATTTTTTCCTCAATTAATTCCGTGCTTAAATAAAAAATATTTTGGGGGGAATGCTTGCACTTTGAATATTTCTAAATTTTATAGAGGAAGTCTGGTGATTGCCCTTTAATTTTAATAGACATTTGAAAATAACCTAGCATTTCCTTAATGTTTTCAACGAATTAATTAATTAAAGTGCATTTACAAGACTTTGAAAATAATTTTTATTTCACGTGTATTTAAAATTATTATTTCATCATATTATGAAATAAATTTAAATTAAATTAAAAGTTTATTACTTAAAAGAGAAAGGCCGATAATTAACCTTTATTTAAATAATTCTAGACTTTTAATTTAATTTTTTAAATTTACTACATAAAAAATATTTTCTATTTTTATGGTTGGCGATTTTTCAAAGGCAGATTATTCAAATAGGCTGAAGAGAAGACATACATAGAATCGGGACTATTCCAAAAGCAAAGTTTATTTTTTATCATTTTTTATATTTGTTTATTCTTTGGAATTTTTAAATTTATTGAAGCTTTGTAATCATTATAAGGAACGATCCGATAATTCAAACAAATTTAGGGATTGTAAACGCTGTGTTTGAGCAGTTCGCTTTTGAAGTGGTTCTACCTGGCGAGCTTCTAAGTGATTTTACGGACTTTTAACTTGTGAAAGAAATTTTTGAAAAATTTTTTAAGCCAGACAACCAATATTTTAAAAAATGTACAGAAATATATCAAAATATGCACAAAATTAAAAAAATGCTAAAGTTGCCAAAATATGCACCAATATGCAAATATGACTAAAATCCTGAAATATGCTATAGGAACCGGGTCGCTAATGTTTATAACGGCGTAAAAACACCATTTTTGGGCGTTTTAGCTTACATCCGCATACAAAATATGTTTGCCCCACCTATTTATAAATTATGTATCAAGAAAAAAACTCTAAATGCCTAGTTGTAAAAGGGTAAAATGGGAGAAATAATTCAAATTATTACTAAAAATCTTTTTAATTCTGAATTTATTGTTAATAATTTATTCTTTAATAATATGTAATTTATTTTTATTTTTATAATTTCTTTTTCTTTTCATCTTTAATCATCAACAAAATTCTCAAGAAAATTATTTTGTCCTGGATGTGGTTTCGGAACATGATAATCAGTAGCCAACAAAATATTAATAAAAATAAGATTAATAGTTGCCCAAATAATTAAAATAGAAATATTATTCATTTTTCAAACTAGGTAAAATTCTTTATCTAAATTTAAAATGAAAATTAAATAATTTATGTAGATTATGTATATATTTTTTATTTCATATATTTTTGCAGGGACACGCCCGAAATGTCGCCGAGCCATAACTTGCTTTAAGATTTCCGAATCTTTCCAAATTTAGTATTAAACGATTCCTCTCATCGAGCTAAAGAGATTGGTACCAAAATTGATAAGGGCCAGAAATTTATTAGCAAGTTATGGCTTGGCGACATTATGGCCGCGCGACATTTCGGGCTGTACCCATTTTGCATATAATTTGCCTTTGTCAGTGATATTATTAAATGAAAGCGTTTTAATCATTAAGTTGGGGCCTGCTATTATAATAAATTAATTTTAGGTGTGTAAGAATGATTCACTTAGAGCATTCAAAACTTGGGGGGGGGAGGGATAAAGGCGGGGTTGAGCGGGGGTCTAAACGGATAAAAGAGAAAGCATTAGTTGATGCCTCGGTAGCTCAGCGGTGGAGCTCCCATATGTGGTGAGCGAATTCTGCCCGGTGGCTAAACTTTTGCTAGACTCTTTCTACAGGAGAAACTAAGTTTGTAGGGTATCCCTCAATAAAATAAAATAAAAATTTAGGCTTTTTAATAGTTAAGGCAAATATTTAGAATAATAATAAATCAAGCTTTATTTATATTAGTTTAACAATACTCTCGAAAACAACCTTTATAGCTAACAATCCACGTTTCTTAAAAATACTGTTTATTATTTGATGCATTTTATTAATAAATTTTTTATTAATTTTGGAGAAAACAAACAAATAAAAATTTAAAAATACATATTACACGTTTTATGTACTTTTTTATTTAAAAAATTGTTTGATTATTTTTTTTTTCTTCTCAATTTAAAAAACCCCTATTATATGTGGATTTATGTAAATTTATTGAAATAATCATTCTTCCTCTACCATCGCTCAACTCTCGAATTTATTCTATATTGAGTAGTTTAAACGAGGGTTCGACTATACTTTTCAGGTCCATTTTCAGATTCAAAACCTCAAAACCGATCTTTCTAATATTTAGTTGTCCAGAGCTTTAAACTGCAGCTAGAAACAGCGGAGTACTGACTAATGATCAGTTTCTAAGACTAATTAAAATAATAATTATTTATTGAATTATAAAATATATGTAATATTTTTCAAAATTCCTTACATGTTATTCAAAAAAAGTTTAAAAATTAAATCAGAAAAATTATAAAAAAAATTTATTATAGCATATTTGTTTGTTTTGTTACTTTGTTTAATTCTTATTTTGATAAAACCAATTTTAGCTTAAAATTTATTTGCTTTTTTAGGTTTGCCAAAGTGTATTTTTTATAAATATTGCTCAGAAATATTTGAACACAATTCCAAAAATATGTTCGAAAATATTGATATTTTTTCTCGAACATCTTTTAAAGTTAATTAATAGCATATAGAAGATCGAAAGAAATGGAAAATTTTGACGTAGTGTCTTTATAAATTCTAGGATTTTTGTACACGGCTCTGAAGAAACAGATATCCGGAAATTTTGGTTCTGGAAATTGGGCTCTAAGATTTTTTGGAATTTTAGGCTCTAAATAAAGTTCATCTTTTATCAAGTAAAGAGCAACAAACAAATGATTGAGTGATAAATCAATTGACATTGATATTCTCAAATTCGTTTTCAGCATCAGCAGAACTTATATCTTCTGCTTCAAATTGAATGTTCAAATGGGACTGGATCCCTCGGGATATGTATATCTCGTAAATCCAGTAATCCAGTTTTCGCTTAAATCCCGAAAGTTCGAAATGTAAAGCCAAATATACAGCTAAAAAACTTATTTTCAGCGTCGAGAAATTTTTGAAGGCCAAGAAGCCAGATTTCTCCCATTTTTCCACAAATCCGGTAAAAATAGCCATTTTTTCGAGCCATTTTTTGTGCCTCATTTTTATCTGCTCAGGCCTGTGAGTCACTTTTGTGCGAAACTTTTATTGAGTCGGGCCGTACGAGTCTCTTCTAGCCAGTTTCGTAAGCCCGACTCGATCTTCGGTCCGAGTCAGTCCATTTTAGCAACCCTACACATATTGCCAGATTTTTGATCTAAACTTTTAAAATTAATAAGATTTTATTCAGTTTTATTCATGGGCAGCTAATATTAGAATTTTTAGCTAAATATTAATAATTCTCTCATTAACTAATTCTTATTCTTCCTTTATATATTTCTAATTTCTTTTTTCTAGAGTTGGCCGGTATCGGGATTTCGAGAAAAACCCGGGATCGGGATTTAGGAATGGTGATCCCGATCCCGATCCCGGATCCCGACACGGGATCGGGATTGGCCGAAATCGGGATCGGGATTTGGACTGGAGATCCCGATCCCGGTCCCGATCCCGAATCGGGACCGGGATTAAAAACTCGGGATCGGGATTTACTAAAAAAAATTTTAAAAACTTATAAATTTTTATTTTCTTCACAAACGACTCAATATAATTCTAAAATTTCCACTGCGGTGCTGAAATATTGAGTTAAAGTCTCATAGACGCATGATTTACTTTCCGGTTCAGGGTATTAAGGGGGGATAAGGTAATGGGGGGGGGGGGGAGGATAAATGGGATTGGGCTTTTGATTTTTAAAAAATTTGCACCCTTTGAAAAGTTTGGCACCTTGGCCTTCCAAATTTTGAAAAATTTTGAAAAATTTTGAAGGCCATGGTGCCAGATTTCCTCCCTTTTAAGCGCCGCAGGCAATAATTTTAATTTTGGAAGGCCAAGGGCATTTAAGTCTAAACGTTCAAGTCTATACATTTAAGTGCGTTACGTCAAATGTGGATGATTAAGAACTGAGATTGAGGGATTAAGTGATATATTCATGTCCCTCGTAAACCCTCGATTCTCTTCAAATCTAACTTAATTTCTGCAAATCCACGATATCCTTCTATACTCCAAATCCACCTATACTCCCCTCAACCCCTCTTGATCGCTCGATATCACACCAAATCACTCAATATTTTGTCAAAGTTTTAAAGACAGCTTTGCTTAAATTTGCTTCTTTTCTGCGCCGCAGGCGAAAATTTTGAGAATTTTGGATGTCAGGATGCCAAATTTCTTCCATTTTCTGCGCCGCAGGCGAAAATTTTTCTTAATTTCATGCCTCCTCTCTTCTGTTAACTTTATTTCCACAAACTTCTAGTAATTTATAAAATCGGGATTTGCATCGGGATCTGATACACATCCCGATCCCGATCCCGGATCCCGGCTCGGGATTAAAAATGGCCGGGATCGGGATCGGGATATATATTTCGGGACCGGGATCAGAAAAATCGGGATCGGGATTTGAAAAACCCGGGATAATCCCGCCCGATCCCGACCGGGATCCCGATCCCGGCCAACTCTACTTTTTTCCAAATAATATTAATCCATCAGCATTGAACATATGTAAATACAGCATTAGCACGCCCTACTGCCAAATTTTCAAGCTGTGCAAAAGCAGCTTTTGACAAATCGACGTCTGTTGATTTACAACCTTGGCATCTGTCTTTGATGGGGATTGTGATACTAAAAATAATTTGCTACCATAAAAGGAGATTGATAATTCGGAATGTCTACCTTTTGCCTTTATAAAAGGATTTTCTCCGCTGGGTTTTTAGACATATTAATCCCAAAACCGAATTACCTGAATATCATGATCTACTTTATTACTTTAAACAAGAATCCCTATTTCATAGACGTATCAAAGCCGATCTCAATTTATTTCACCAACATGTTTGTGGGACTATAACAATCAAAAACAATAACTCATATTTTATCAGTAAAGCCAATACCAGGGGGTTCCAAAACATTATTTCTATATCATGTAATACAAAAGCCAGATTCCACTCCTTTTTCGTTAGGACTGCTCGGATATATAAATTTATTCCTCAACATATGCGCAATTCAACCCCCGAACATTTTGGTCGACTCCTAGTCACTTTTGATATATCCCAATTTATTGACTCACTTCCAAATCACCTTAAAAGACATTTTTACAATTTTTAAATTATATTAAGGAAATCGTTTGTTTATGCTCATTTTATTATTTTATTTATTTTATCACATTATTATTGTCTGAAATCGTCGCGCTGGTGCGTATAAATTTGATTTGATTTGATAATCCACTTTAAGACAGATATTACGGCAAATTGGATCATTATTTGGATTTCCACTAGTCCATTCTGTATGGCTAATAGCAGCCAGCATTTCAGTATCTGCATTAATCTGCTGGCCACAAGCACCAAATCCATTACCGGTATAAAATGTGAAGGAGCCTGTAAATTGTTGGTTTAACTGCACTCCATGGCTGCAGCTCGAAGAAATAATAATTACCAGAGGAATAAATAAATAGGCAAACATTTTTGGATCTGTTGATTTAATAATTAGAATAAATATTTATTCAACAAATTAATAGTGAGACACTGCTAAATATATCGCTTTTAGGTACTTATGGATACCCCCCCCCCTTTAGTTTGTAGCTCAGAGTTTATTTTAAATGTATTTAATAGTCAAGCTGATTACTTCTTCAATTCCTTCTCTATATTTTTTAGCATACTAAAATGAGGCATTATTAATAAAAGATAAAATCTGATCATTATGTACATCAAGGGAAAACTCAGAGAGTCAAACTAGAGTGGAATTTATTAACTTCTCTTAGACTTGAAAATACCCAATTTTAATTTTTTTGATTCTTCTTCTATGTAATTTTTGAAATTCACTTACATGTTTATTATTCTAGTTTACAAAGTTAATTTTAAAAATTTTTTTATTCTGAACTTTTTTTTCTATTTGTTTAATTCGGCTATTTTTAAATAATTAATAGCTTCAGATTCCGAGGCCTTTCGAGAATTAAACAATTTTTATTGTAAAATACTTTAGCTACACATAAATATTTGCTAATATATGCCGCCTTCGGCGTCAAAAAATTCCGGTTTTTTGCATTGCAAGTGAAAATTATGAGAATTTTGAAAGGTTAAGAGGCCAGACATATTCCTTATTAGCGCCGCAGGCGAAATTTTTGAGCATTTTTGAAGGCCAAGCGGTTAAATTTCTTCCATTTCAACGCCGAGTCGAAAATTTTGATAATATGTAGGAAAGACAAGGAGCTAGATTCATCTTTTTTCTGCGCCGCAGGCGAAATTTTTTTAAATTTGGAAGACCAAGAAGTCAAATTTTTCCTCGATCAGCGCCGAAGGCAAAAATTTTGAGAATTTTGGATGGCCAAGAAGCCAGAGTTCTTCTTTCCTCAGCGCCGCAGGCGAAAATTTTGAGAAATTTGGAAGGCTAAGAGCCCAGATATTCTTCATTTTCTGCGCTGAAGCGAAAATTTAAAAATTTGGTATGCTTTCTTCAATTTTTCTTCGCCGCGGACAGAAATTTATGAGAATCCATGACTAAATTAATTTTTAGAGTTTTTTCACTCTTTTATTAAAAAAAAATTTGCAATTTTAAAATGAAAATCAAAGCTAAAAAAATTTATTTTTGAAAAAAGAGTCAATTACCTCACATTTCCCAACGCTGGACACAAACCCAGCCCCATCAAAATACTTTAGTAAGTGAAGTCACTCAACCTAACCACTAAACCATCGATCTACAAGAGGTATATGGAAAAATTTTAAATATATTCTTTCCCTTCTTCTTTATTTATTTTCCCTTTCCTTTTTTTCTTTATTTTTTTCCTTTCAAAAATAGTAAAATTTTATCAAAAAAGCCATTCTTAGGGGTGTAAAAATTTCCCGACTTAGTCGGGAATTGACATCGGGAGTCGGGGTCGGGATCGGGAGGCCAAAAACTCGGGAAATTTCCCGAGTCGGGTGTCGGGAGTCGGGATACCCGAACATCACTAATATGTACGGACGGAAAAAATACATAAGTGGACAAATCAAATAACCAATCTGATATAATATATTAATGACCATTTGGAATGAGTATTTATAGGGGACGTTTACAGGTCAAGGGAACAGTAAAAAGTAATAACAAATAAAGATAAGGATCGAGCGATAAACTCTTAGAACGGTCGTAATTCCTTTTTAAGGAACGGTCAAAATATATTTGCATGCGAATGCATGTGAATACTGCAATAATATTTCCTATAAACAAAAAATTTTGGTTCTGGTCTAGTTTATGTGTCCAATGACATTTTATGAGTCCAATGAAAGTTTACGAGTCCAATGAAAGTTTATGAGTCCAATGAAGTTTTACGAGTCCCATGAAAGTTTATGAGTCCGATCAAAAGTTTATGAGTCCGATCAAAAGTTTATGAGTCCAATCAAAAATTTATGAGTCCAATGAAAAATACAAACCGGTGGGAATATTGCAAGGCCAACCCATATTAAAAAAACAAATCCTTAGTGGTGTAAAAAAGTTCAGGATTGCTCGGAATCGATTCATGAACCGGAGCCGGATCCAATTTGAATTCCGGTTCAAGGAACCAAAAAACGCCGGAACTTTCCGGAACCGGAATTTCCGGTTAAATTCTAATTTTTATATACTTAAGGCATTGACAATGGTTCAGTGATTACTAAATCACCTTACGACAAACATTAAATACTAAGGAAAATTGACCATTACGACATGGTCTCAGGAAGTAAGAAAAAATATGATCTGAGGCACTCCTTTCATATAGTCAAAATTTTGATTGGATTCATAAAATTTCATTGGACTCATAAACCTTTGATCGGACTCATAAACTTTCATGGGACTCGTAAAACTTCATTGGACTTATTTAGTCCCCCCCCCCCCCCCCCGTCAGTTTTTTCGAAAATTATGTAAAAATGGTCAGTCTGAACAACAATTGTAGAACACATCGAACTGTGTCGAATGAGACCAAAATCAACAAAATCCGACTTGATTTGACCGAAATACAGACCCCTGAAAATTGAACAACCATGGGGGTGATTTTTCGAAATAAAAAAAGTTTACCCAAATGATAGCTCATTCGAAAGAGCTCGTCGAGCTGAGTCGGCTAACACCAAAATCAACGAAATCGGACAAGATTTGACAAAGTTATGACATTATTTAGACCTACCGGAGTCGACGACTTATGTCATAACTTTGTCAAATCAAGTCGGATTTCGTTTATTTTGGTCTCATTCGACACAGTTCGATGTGTTCTACAATTGTTGTTCAGACTGACCATTTTTACATAATTTTCGAAAAAACTGACGGGGGGGGGGGGGGGGGGGGAACTAAATAAGTACCAGAAGGGACCAGGGCTAGACATGACCGGTTACTAACAGGTGCCCAAAAACACCTGTTTACGGTTCTGCTCCAGTTAACCGTTTGTGTCCAAACATAATGGAGACTATTTTAGAAAATAAGACTTTCCTAGCTTAGCTGCCCTTATAGATTGTCGTTTAATTAAGCAGACTTGCTTATGGATACGGATATAGATAATATCAAATTGCCTGCGAATATCCGCCTGTATCCGTCTGTATCCGTCGTAAATATGCGTATACGGATCAGAGTTATTTCGAAATTTCGGTTTTTGAGGGGTTTTTCTTTCGATTTACGATTTTCGAATTTTAGAAAAAATTTGAATTTTTGGCGCCAAAATGAAAGATTTTTTATTTATTTAATAATAAAAACATAATAATATCTAAAACACTAATTAAAGATATTAATGTCTGCAAAAGTTGCCGTTTCGATAAATGCATATTAAAGGGAATGTGTATTCAAACAACAAAAGGGAGGCAACCCGAAAAGGTTTTGGAAATACAAACAATGATTCAAAATAAACGTAGAGAACTTGCTAGTAAAGGAAAATATATTCAAGGAAAATCTAATAATTGTGCTGTTGAAGGACTGAATTTTGATGATTTGGTAGATTATTATTTTGAGCTCAAATTCGTATTTTTACCATAGAAAATCGTTCTTCTTATTTATAAACTTTTTCTTCGCAGGGATCCCAATTCACCTGGATTGGCATAAGTTTATACTACATATTTCGATTTTCTATTGCAAGGCTGTCAACAATCGAAAAATTTTTTAAGCGTCCGTTTCACTGTATTTAATCTCCTTTATTAAATTATTTTTTTCTTCGCAAAGCATAAATCTAACCTGAACAAACATTTAAATATTTTATTTTAATGATTTTATTTCATTTTTATTTAACTCACTTTATAATTTCAAATTAATATTTTTTATTTAAAATGTGTAAAATAAAATTTTATTTTATTCCAGAACAAAATTTAAAACTCAATTAATTTAACATTGGTATATAATTTTTATATATAATGTAAATGTTCTAATAGAAGCCCTGCACTTTTTTCGATTCTACGACACGGGGACGGACATTTGGTGATTGGGGACATAAATTTGGGGATTAGACATTTAGGGGCTGTATTTGAGTAAAAAATTTTAATTTAAAAATTTGAAAACAATATTCAAAAAACAATATCGAGTGATATAAATGTCAGTCCCCAATCCCTAAATGTCTGTCTTTAAATGTCCGTCCCCGAGTGTTTCAATATGTATGCATATTAATGAAGAGCCTCTAATAAATGCTTTACTTTAAACCAGGGCATATATTAGGACATTTACGATAAATTAAGGTTTAAGCAAGGCTTAACAAATAGGGATGGAATTAACCAGGACCTCTCTCATTTAACAGTAGAGTTGTTCATTTTTGGACTGAAGGAGCGAAAATCTGCAGTTCTTCGGTTCGTTTCCAAACCAACAACCCTATTACAGCAAGAAAGGTCTCTCCTTTCCAATTCCTGTCAATCAAGCGTTAAATGCTAGCCAGTTGGAATTTAATAAAATAAAATAAATATTTAATTCAAATTGTTTACACAGGAATTTAAATTTTATTTAATACTAAAATCAATTTTAATATGTCATTAACAAATTATATCAATGAAGGATTCAATGAAGTAATGGGAAATGAAGGCCTTCAAAATTTTGAAGATTTAAGTGATATTGAAGAAAATAACGAAGAAATTAAAGTTGAGAATCGAAAAGTTGAAGAGAATAAAAATAAAAATTTAAAAGTTCGAAAAGTGGCAACAAAAACTAAATGTAGTATCTGTGAACGTATAGCTAGTGGATATCTCTATTATGGAGTAATTTGTTGTGATGGTAGTTTGCTTGACTAAATTTAAAAATTCAATTACTGTTTTCAGGCTGTAAACAATTTTTTAATCGTTGTATTACTTCAAGAAACAAATATAAATGTGAAAAAGATGGGAACTGTAATTTATCGAATGGTAATTTTTTGCAATTAAATGGTGGAGGGATGTTAGTGATATTATGTGGAGATAAATATAGAGACAGGTGTTGGACATGACCGGTTACTAACCGGTGTCCAAAAACACCTGTTAACTGTTCTGCTCCAGTTAACCGTTTGTGTCCAAAACTAA